ACTGGACCGAGAATCACTTCTGTTATTCTAAAGACAACAGGTGTTAGATTTTTAGGTGCTTGGAGAAACAGCTTTTCATGTTTCCAGTGAGCCTTGTGGCTTATAATTCACATGAGTATCATCAACAAGTATCATGAATCAAGCAGAATACAAGTTGAGGACAGTAAGCTTTAAAATAGGTAATTTGGCAAACTTTAATTTCATGTTCTAGATATTAAACTCCTCTAGGCAAAGAAGAAAACTGAGTCCAAATTCTACAAAGTTCTAACATATTGCATAATATATCTCCTAGCATACAGCGGACTGAGTATTTTATTGATTTTTATTATAATTAAAATTTTATCCCATAGTAAGATTTTTATGAGTATAATTTGATCAGACATTCATAATAAGGAGAAAACCAGAAATGCATGGTAATTTGATAGGTCTTGTTAGAGAAAGAGAAGCATAAAAGATAATTTAATACTGTTTACATATTTTTTAGGAAAGAAATTTTTTAATATCTTCATGATTTTATATGAGGTAGAAGGATCTATAGTAGGAATACTGTATTATTTTCCTTTCTAATCTTATTTTTTCATGCTATTTCTCAAAATCAAATACAATGCTATCCTTCTAGGTTAATGTAAAATCAGATGGAAGGTGAGAGAAACTACATTTCCTCAGATTTAATATACAGTCATCACTCACAGTCACCCGCAGGGATAGCTTTCAAGATCCCCAGGGGATGCCCCAAACTGCAGAACTGCTCATGTCTCTCTTATTCATACAGAACTATGAAAAATTTTAATTAAAAAATTAGGCACATTAAGAGATTAATATCACAGTAAGGGATTAATAAACGAAAGTTATGTGACGGAGTCTCTCAAAGTATCTCCTGTCAGACTAACACTTTTCTTCTTCAGATGCTGGAAGAGAACCAATACCTCTGAGATAAGAAGAGGAGTGAATTGATGGAGTAGACACTGTGCAGCATTAGGCTTCCGTACCAAGTAACCTGGACAGGAGCCACACCACGTAGTGTCCCCCAGCTGATAAGCAAACCAGGAACTCAACCCTGAAGGTAACATACACAACATGGAAACATGAACCCAAGGTAAGACTCCACACCCGGAGAAAGTGGAGAGGACATGTACTCATGGTCCTCAGAAAAGTGTAAAATTTAAAACTTAGAAATGGACTGTTTCTGCAATATTCTCATTTCATATTTTCAGAGCATGGTGACCATGAATAACTAAACTACAGAAAATGGAACCACATGGGAAAGTAGGGTACCTTAGCCACTTTTTCTGTCTTAATGAGAATGAACCGAGCAACGCAGAGTTTATCTAACTCTACTTCTTTAAAAAAACACCACGAATCACCTTAGTCTCCATAGTAAACTGCTTCAGTTTCTCTGGTATCAGCTTACTGGAGTTGGTAGGTCAAATGATGCCAATCTAGCATATTGAATATTTAAGTTAAAAGAATTTAAAACTAGCAGATAACAAAAGATCTTACTTTTCTTGAAACAGGAGACCAAATTCTCCTGTGGAAGAGGAACAGCCTTATCCTCAGGTTGAGAGATCAAAACCTGAAGAATTCTGTACGGAGCTGTTTAAATAGCTCTGGTTTGATGTCTCATACCTGTAGAGACACCCAGACCTGAGTAGGGCAGAGATCTGAGGATCGGCAAGCAGGTAGCCCACTCAAACTTGGAGTGAGAAAAAGTCACACGAGAGCATGAGGCCTTAAGTTCAAGCCCTAGGACTGGTGCTGGCGCGCGTGCCACACACACACACACACACACACATACACACACACACACACACACACACACACACACACAAAATTTGGTCTTGTCTTTTTAAGCCTGCCCATCTAATTTAGTTGCTTTTTCACAATTTAATATTCTTTGTTCCATCCGGCATGTCAATAACTAGCTTTAAGTTTTATTTTGGGACTTATTTATTTGCATGGCTCCTGTACCCTGTGAAATTTGTATTAAGAAAATGTGTACGGGCCGGTGGCTCACGCCTGTAATCCTAGCTACTCAGGAGGCTGAGATCTGAGGATCGTGGTTCAAAGGCAGCCTGGGCAGGAAAGTCCGTGAGACTCTTATCTCCAATAAACCACTAGAAAACTGGAAGTGGTGTTGTGGTTCAAGTGGTAGAGCACTCACCTTGAGCTGAAGAGCTGAGGGACAGCCCTCAAGCCCAAGTTGTAGAGCGCTCGCCTTGAGCTGAAGAGCTGAGGGACAGCCCTCAAGCCCAGAGTTCAAGCCCCACAACCGACAAAAAAAAGAAAAGAAAAGAAAAGAAAAGAGAAGAAAAGAAAATGTATATCCTTTCTCCTATCGCTCTGCCTCTTGCCAGCTTAATTCTAGGGCCACTTGGGATGCCGAAAGGATGGAGGCGAAGTTTTGCAGCCTTTGCCAAGTGCTTCTGGTTCTCTCTGCACTGGGCAGCAGTTTCTGAAATTCTCTTCTCCCTTTTGCCATCTTATGCCTAAATGTTTATTATGCCGCCGCTTCCCTGCTGAGCCTCTCTCCTGACTGTATCAAGTTTTGCTCTCCTGTGTGTTCCCATGGAATGTAATATGTGCCAAACATTCACAGAGCACCTCTTTTTGCAAACGACTTCCATTAAGTCTCCAATGAGCATATCTGACCCCAGCTTCACAGGCTGTCCACAAGAGTCGGGATAAAAGGCTTCGAGCCACAATTAGAAATAACTAATGGAATGATTAAAAGTGCACAGAGTGCTCTAGAGGAAATACAAAGGGTGGCAGGTGCATGCCGAGCAGCAGCCTCTGACCTAAGCCATCGTTAAGGAAGTCAAGCCAACCCTGACATGCGTCATCTGGGCACAGAGATGGGCAAAGAGAGCTTCCGGCAGAGTGGAGAAATGTGTGGAACGCCTCCAGGCAGGGCACAAGAGGATGTGCAGCAGGTTTTCAGAGGAAGGAAAGCAAATGGTACAAGACAGGTTACAGGACTCACTGGGCTCAGAGCATTCCAGAGATGCCTCCTTACCTCATGGCCAGTGCTCCACCTTGCTTCCAAACAAGAGCTTCCTGAGAAGCTGCAGGGGGTAGTGAGCTGCCATCGCCCAGCAGTGACCACCTCAGGCACACAATGCCACCCGGTCCACCCTCTTCCCTGATAACCCTGGAGCCCAATCCTCTCACCTCTGCTCAGGCTCCGCCTGTGACTAAGCACAGCTGGAGTACAAGGCCATTTCAGTTTCCTCCCACAGCCCCTGTACTCAGGACTACCTCTCATGTCCCTGTCAGGCTTTCTTTCCTTTTCTTTTCTTCTAGATCATACCTTCCTCAGATAACCTGGGGCTCTATCTAGACAAGGGTCTTCCTGAGCTTTATGATTATTTGTTCAGAGGTTCAATGACTGAACAATTTATTATGGCCACTTTCAATTAGACACAGCAAATGAGGCTCACTCAAAAGTATTCCTCACTTCTAATGGAAAAGATAGGAAAACTGAAACACAGTTGTGAAGATTTACAATTCTTTTTCTAAGAAAACTCAAAATCAGCTCTACGGAGATAAAGTGGATAACTCTCAATTGGCTATTTTCAGTTCTTATTAAATAAATATTAAATTACAGAAATATATTGCAGGAAAATCGCGTGATACATTTGGTCTGCTTCAGCAAAGCTACAACAGAGATGAGAAATGTTCCCTCAATTACTTCTGTTGAGTTTGCACATTGAGCTGCTTGCCAATTATGAGAGTTAATAAGGTTTTTCTTCAACAGAGGAAAGGATTTACTATCTCAACCTAGAAAACACATGCTAGAGTAAATCTCTGGTAAACTTTATTGCTAGGGAGTAAATTTTTGTTAGAGCTATCTCTCCCAGGCCTATACCATCCTGCCAACTCTGTATTAGCTAATCTATGAGCTCAGTGGGTTGATGCCACCCCTCACTGGAGTGAAAACTATTAGGATACACTCATCCTCCTTTGCCAAGTGCAGGCAAGGCATAATGGAGGAAAGGCTGAGTTCAGGAGGAATTGATATGCTATCTTCAGTCCCCACACCTTAAATGTGTGGTAATTGCCTGCTGAAGCGGCAGGAGCCAGACAGGGAAAGCAGAAGAGGACAGAGACTATCACACAGGGCTGAGATACATCCAGGAAACAGAACGGAGAGTTGACTGAGCTCTGCTTGAAGGCAGAGCTGTTGAAGTGAATGACTGAATTCTGTTTGGGTAACTATTAAAAGTATTTCAATTCAGAGGGTATTGTCCTGGAATTTTGGAGTTAAAATTACACAATTGATTGTACCTTTCAGATTAACTTACTGCTTTTGCTGGGGGGGAGGGGGCAGTTAATTATCATCATTGTGTCAGTTTTAATTTTATAAAGCTTCTTCAAACAAAGACCTAAAAAATTCTATGTACCATCACAGGGATCAAAACATAACAGTTAAAATGTACTCTTGTGTGCTAACTAATTTCATTAAGTATTTGGATGATGGATGGAAATCATTACTGAACACCCTAAAGAGTACACAAATGCAAGACAGTAGACTACATGGCTCAAAATAAATGAATAAAAGTTGATATTTTATTGATTTCCAGAAGAATCTGCAGTTATAGCCCATGGGCAAAACCAAGGCCTTATTTGTTTTGCACATATAATATTTAAACACACATATTACAGAAATGCATTTAGCTCAGCATTGCACTATTTCAGTAGACCTGGACAGCTGCCAGGTTGGGCCAACAATGAGTTCTCAGTATGAACTACTTTACATACAGTCTAGTTCACCTACCTTGTTACTTGTATTTGTATCTGTGACCTTTGTTTATTGTGCACACACTAATATCTTTCCAGCTAAGTACAGGTTTGGTATATAGAACAACAACAAACCTGACAGAAATACAAAAACCACATCATACAAGTGAACAACCGTGGCAGTTAAGTAAAAACTTTAAACAGGATCGTTGACAATTTAGCAATAGAGCCATTAGCCACTGTACCGGTGGTGCACTTCTTACCTGAAGGTCTTTTTCTTCTATCTTACTTTGGAGCACTTTAAGGCATTTGGTGAAGTCAGTGTGGTCTTGATCAGGAGTTGAAATGAGCTCACAGCCCTATGTAGTAAAGAAACAAAAAAAGTAAAAATGAGTAAAACTTCAACCTTATGAAAAAGATCAAGAGCAATGAAAGTAAAGATGAACTATCAAAAGACATCTGTTATGTGTGAATTATTGCACTGTTCTTAAAATCATTATAATTATCCTTTTAATTTCATGTTACAGGATATTTAAGAAATGATGATACAATATTGCTATAGTGGTCTGATTATGACAATCTTTTGCCCTAAGTAAAGTATAGATTATACTATAGTAGTAGTATGTAAACAACACTGATATGATGATATTCAAGACTAACATAAGGACTTTGGTAAAAATAGAATAAATTATATTCATAGTAAAATTTTTAAATGAAAATATTTTTAAAAACTTTGAAGATCTTTAAGTAGACCACATAAATTTACTTACATGGAACAACTAATAGTACTATTGAACTAATGATAACACATTGTGTTTTATGAAAACCTTGGTCAGTTGTCAAAAAAATTCCTTTATAGCCTCATTTTTCCTATGTGAAAGTGGTAGAAAGCACCATGCCTGTTTACAGTTGTACCTTGGTTTGTATTTTTAGGATCTAATAAAGTAAATTTGTAAGTTCTTTTCCTTCTGTGTAACAAATAATTTTACCACCTGGAAAACGCAAAAGCATAAACAAAAGTCAGAAGAAGGCCAACTCGTAGCACCAGTGACTGCAGGCAGCTAACAAAACCACATTTTTGAAATGACATGGTCTCCTCCAATGTCGTACAAAGGCAAAAGTACGTAAAAGCAGACACGATGGGACTTCAGACTTCTTAATTCAGAAATAAAACAATTCTTGGACTCTGACAAATAGCTGAGTAAGGGAAAGTTAAATATAATCTAGTATATAAAGTTGCCAGTCAAAGAGTTTTCAAGGATATGATACACCCATCCTGCCTCTTAAATTATTCTAAGGACCATTCTTGGTAGATTTAAAGGTTCTTCTTTTACCTCAAGGTCTCTTTAAACGTGCCGAGCTCAACCTGTTCTTTATTCATTTATGACTGCCCTACACTGTAGTGACCAATGAACAAATTAATATCTCATCATTCAGAGATATATTATGCTCTAAAAGATATATCTGTCATCTTTACAAGATTGTCGACATATACTTTCTTAACCCTAAAAGAACATCAAAATTTACTACAATCACTAAGCAAGGACATAAAGAAGTGATTGGTCTCAGGCCAATAGTCCTAAAAAAGAAGATATAAGCATATGCCATTTTATGGAGGAATATTATCAGGGTTGAAGACAAGAGACTGTCACTAAATGGAACATCATTATGCTGAAAGTTGCCTGAGGACAGGAATGTTCATTTGTCCTTGTTTCCAGAGGCTGGTACTCTATAGCATGTGCTAAGTGATCAAAAATTGGTTATTTTCATGAGCCATAAAAATTCATTCTTTTAGCTTAACAACATGACTACCAGGAAGATGGAATGTGTTTTGTCAACATGTTGAGTGGTCACAGGGAGAAGTGGCAGAAAAATGGAAAGATGAAAGGTGGACAAATACAGTTATTAAATTCAATATACACATGGGAAACTGGGACCACAGAAACGGAGGGTAGAGGTGGGGTTGAGAAACGGAGGGTAGAGGTGGGGTTGAGAAACGGAGGGTAGAGGTGGGGTTGAGAAAGTTGGAGGACAATGATGGAAAGGGTGATATTGATCCAGGTACATTGTACTTACAAACTGACTTGGTAAACGGAATCCCCTATGTACACCTACTTAAAGAAACTACAGACAAAAATGCATTCTTTTAACTGCGCTCAATATAAAAACTCACAAATATTTGTAGAAATACATACCAGCAAAGGGCTAGAACACTATGGCTTGGTAAATTATTGGTGAATGTAACATACTTGTGTATTCATTCCATGGTCGACATTCCCAGATGCAGAGTACATGGTTGTGGTGATTGACTGTATATTTAAATGTTTAAAATGTTAATGACTTTGATATGAGTAATTTCCAAGAGAATAAGTAAATGTGAGAAATATCTTGTTCAAATTGAATATTTAAGTAAAAAGCACTTAAAACAACAAGTACAGAAAGATGACGCTAAACAAGATATATCTATGAATCTATAAATCTATATAGTTATAGCTATATGTATAGATACATATATCTGTATATATGTATACATAGATATATATATCTGTATACATGTATAAATACATATATACATATACACACACATAAACACACATAAACACACACAATCTACCAGATATTAAGATAGTCCAGTAGAAAATAAAGTCATAAATACAATAAATACTAACAAAATATAAATGTATTAGTTTAGGAACTAGTAGTTCACACCTGTATATAATCCTAGCTACTCAAAAGGCTGAGATCTGAGGATCATGGTTCCAAGGCAACCCAGGCAGGCAAGACCAGGAGATTCTTATCTTCAATTAGCCAAGTGGTAAGTAGAGCTTGGTTCAAGTGGTAGAGTGCTAGCCTTGAGCACAAAAGCTTAGGGGCAGCACCCAAGCCCAGAGTTCAAGTCCTAGGGTTGCCAAAAAAATAAGTAAATACAAAATAAAAATAAATATATATTTTTTTGCGGGGGAGGGAAGGAAAACAGACAAAAACAAGTAGCATTTCTTTCTTTTTGCCTTGAAAAATTCTCGGCAAAACTTGCCGACTTCTGGAAGAATCTTCAGTTTATCTGTTAAGTGTTCTTTTCTTTTTGATGGTAGTATAAACATTAGAAATTTGATTTAGATTTTGGGGCTAATCCACATTCCCCACAATGGAGTTCGATCAAGGAGCCTGGATCTTGAGGAGTAAGTTTATCTCTGTTGGAACTGAAGCAGTCTCTACTCCATCACTCTGGATATTCAATTTTATAGATGATAAAGGAGTATGTCTAGATCAATAGATCTAAAACAATTAAAAATCCTTACAGAACACATCTCAAGCTTCTTCATATTTTATAATACATACATATTCAAAGCATCTAATTAGCTTTCTTTTTCAGAGCTCAAAAAGTTGGATTTATTATTGCTGACAACTGCACAGCAACTTTCAACTTGCTCATGCTCCTAGAAGCTCAAATCTGAAGTATCATTTTCCTTCCCTTTTTTTTTGGGGGGGGGAGGTCCAGTCGTGGGGCCTGAACTCTGGGCCTGGGCACTGTCCCTCCGCTTTTCAGCTCAAGGCTAGCGCTCTACCACTTGAGCCACAGCACCACTTCTGGCTTTTTTCTTTTTGCTTATGTGGTGCTAAGGAATCGAACCCAGGGCCTTATGCATGCAAGGCAAGTGCTCTCCCACTGAACCACCTTCCCAGCCCTTCATTTTTCTTCTCAAAAAACAAAACCCAGTATATACTCTGAACATTTCTTTTAAAAGTAAACTGGCTGGGTACTGTTGGCTCATGCCTATAATTCTATCTACTTAGAAGGCTGAGATCTGAGGATTATGGCTCAAAGCCAACACTGGCAGGAAATTCCATGAGACTTTTATCTCTAATTAACCCCCAGAAAATTGAGAGTGGTGATGTGGCTCACAGTGGTAGAGTGCTAGCTTTGAGCAAAAAGAGCTTAGAGACAGAGCCCACAACAACAACAAAAATTAAATTGCCATATGTAGAACATCTTTCAAAGGAAGATACTAGTTCTAACTTTGTAAGTCTTTAAATAAAATGAAAAAAAAACCAAGCATATAAATGTTACTTTTGCACATGGTTAAATAAATAACGATTGTGGCCTTTAAAGATTTTCATGTATTCACAAATATTTGGAAACTCAACTGTCATGTTTAAGACAGATGGAAGAATTTCTGAGTGTTTGAAGATAAGCACTGTTCTAAATAAAGTTAGGTACTTGTGGGCCTCCTGGTCATGTAAGTAACTTTCAAGCAAAAAAAACCCCAACAACAAAAATCACTGAAGAGGAAAACAGTATTGACAATCAGTCTCAGATCTCTAGGTCTCCATCTTCTGAAGAGCTAGGATTTCAGAAGTAAACCACTAGCATCTGACTGTTTATGTTCCTTATTGATGGGCAGGTATTCAATCTATGGTGGTTTTCTCAGATGAAGAATACATGAATATAAGTGGCTGATGTACATATTTAATATATGTTAAGGCCTTTTATATAAGTAATTTAGAAAAACTTTTGTTAAGAGTATATATAAACATGAGAATAAAAAAAAAACAACTCACAACCATTTGTCAATGAGACAGGACTACAGGAATCCTGAACTACTGGGTAATAGATGGTGGTTACTTAGCTTATTACTTTTATACTTTTGTACATTTTAAAAAGTTCATAATATTTTTTGCATCACTTGCTGCTTACTAGAGTGGGGTAAGTTTGATTCATTTTTGTAGCCCTGGTGCCTAGCATACATTAAACATTTAGTGGACAAGCAAACTGATTCCTTAAATTGGTACAAATTGGTACAAATCTCCAGTGACAGGAAATTTATAACTAGCCCACATGTGATATTTGCATATTCTATTAAAATTCTTTCAAATTGTTTTATCAAGTTGATGTGTACCTCACTATAGTTTCCTACAACTAGCATTAGTTCTACACTCTGAGAATACCTAGAAAATGCCAGACAGGACTGAGCAAATGTACAGGATTTTATTATGCTACTTAGAATGGTACGCAATTTAAAACTTCAGAACTATTTATTATTGGAGGTTCTCATTTGATGTTTCCTGGACTGCAATTGGCTTTGCATAACTAATACTACAGAAAATGAAACTGCAAGGAAGGTAAGCCACTGTATTCACAAAGCACATTCTCACCAAATACACTAACAACAATGACAAAAAAACATCAAATTAACATATACCTAAAAACCTGCAAAAGAAGACTCTTTTACTGAGAAAGTACCATAAAGCATTAACTATTATAAATGATTTCAACTATTAGAGTGCAATTTCTTCTGTAAGAAAATAATTTCTCAAGATGAAGTATGTCAAAAATGACAAAGAACTTACAAATACAAGT